CAGCTGGTTACTCCACATCCTCCTGGCACAGGGCTGATGCCTTTCCTAAGGGCCTCTTGGTGACACAGAGAAAGGGAGAGCAGTGTTGCAAGGATTGAGCAAACAAGCTGCCTGGGTTATGGGAAAGGAGTAGGTTAAGTGGCCACGGGGCCCTGACATTGAGGAGGGCGAGGATCCTGCCAAGTCTGAGCTTAGATCCCTGAAGAAGAAAAAGGAGAGGGCAGCATCGGATGGAAGCAGGACAGGGCCCCATGCAGAGACACAGAATACAAGAAATCTTGAAGCGGAGACAGGGGGCTGGGGGAGGGAAAGACAAGGGGCAGGGAGGCCTTGAAAGAGCCCAGATGGTAGAAATAGGGCGGGTGTGTATGTCAGGAGTGTGTAGAAGGGGAAGGGGAGTAGGATTTCGGAGTGGTTTGGAAAATGGGAGAGCAGAAAGGAAGAAATCAGCTTTGAGTTGAGAAGACAACATCTTGGAGTAGAATGGGGAGACAAGATGGGGGACTGAGGGTCAACAAAGAGCCCGGTAGCACAATAGTTAAAACACTCGGCTGCAACCCAAAAGGTCACGGTTCCAACCCACCAATTGCTCAGGGATAAAGTGCGTAGTTGGTTCCCATAGAGATGCCAGCCTTGGAAACCCAATAGAGAAGTCCTACTCCATTCTACAGAGGCCTGAGTTGGAATCAACTGGAAGGCATTGGGTTGGAGAAAGGACAACTGTTTAGAAAGGGATGAAGAGCCGTGCTGTGTGTGCACTATAACAAACAGAGGTTATGATGGGAAAACATGCCGAAGATGGGGAAGAGCGCACTGGAGGAATCAGGAGATGGTTCCAGAAGGTTAAGGAGGCCAAAGTATCCAATGGTCTGAGAAGAGGGCAGGGCTCTAGAGCCGGAGGGCTGTTTCAGTATAAGGGGCACGAAGCTCCAAAATGTGCTGAGAATGGGGGTGGGGGCCGTCAGGAGAGTCTGGCTAAAAGAGGAGCCAGCGGCGGAAGCGGTCGCTAGGAAGACGTGGAAAGCTCCGAAAGGCAAGAGAGAGAGAGAGAGAGAGGCATCCCCAGACCGGCGGGACCGGGAGCAGTCCCGGGGAGAGGGTCAAGGCCGGCCGGGCCGGCGGTCACCTTGATTGGGGCCATTGCTACCACGGCACAGCTGAATCTGCGGGTCCTGCCCGAGGCCCACGCTCCTCCTCCCGTTCGCCGTCCTGCTCCCACCGCTCCTGATGCTGCAGACTTGACGGCGGCCGCCCCACTGAGCACCAAGCCTGCTCGGTGGCCCAAAACGCGCAATTCTGCCAGCCCCATGCCCGGCCCCACGGATGCAACCGCTGGTGTCCCGGCCGGCCCACGCAAGAGGCGGGGCGCTGGTGGAGCGAACCACAGAGAAGACAGAGGGCTGGCCTTCAGCTGGCACGGCCCTCCCACCACGGCGCGCTCACGAGTCGCAGCACAGGGGGCCGAGCTTCCGGGACTAGGCGTATTTGCATACAGTCTGCGACGCAACGCCCACTGGGGCGGAGCTTTCGGCTGTCCCGCAGTCTATTTGCATACAAGGGCCTCGCTCCGTTCTCATGGGGAACGCCTGGTTTAGGGGTGGGGGCAGTGTTTCCGCCATTCACTGAGGACCAGGGCGGTGGAGGCTGGCCTGGCTCCTGTGCTGTAGGAAAACGCACGTTTATTCATATTCATCACGCTTCCCTGCACTGCGACTGCTTCCCATGTGACTTGCTCCCTAGGAGCCAGGGAGGCTGGACCCAGCCCAAACCACTAGTCTTGAGCCTCCCGGCTTCCTGTAGCGGCGCGTGACCCGACCAGGTCGTTCACGGTCTTGCGCCCGGGCGAGCACGAGCACTTCCAGCAAGTTCGCCACTTCCGGCCCTCCCGGCCTGCCAATGGGATAGAAGGAAGCCTCCGGAAGTGACGTACGCAATGTGGGCCGGCAGTTTTCCGGCTGCGGCCCAGCGGGAACGTGGAGTGCCGGTATGAAGCTGCTCACCCACAATCTACTGACCTCGCACGTACGGGGAGTGGGGCCCCGCGGCTTCCCACTGCGCCTCCAGGTACTTGCCGGGACCCCTCTCCCTGGCGGGGTGGGAAAACTGGAGTCCTGCCCCTAACTCCCCGACCCTCCCCGCAGGCTACCGAGGTCTGTATCAATACCGTGGAGTTCAACCCCGACTTCGTAGTGCGGATGATACCCAAGGTGGAGTGGGCGGCGCTTCTGGAAGCGGCCGATACCGTGAGCACCGCCCCTGTCCACCCGGGGAGGTCTCCCACTAGTCTTGGGACCGGGCTCCGGCCCTAGGGGGGAGGTTCGGGGATGCCCAGAGATGATCCAGGCTTCTTGTCCGCAGTTGCATCTGGCCGAAGTCCCCAAAGGGCCAATTGAGGGATATGAACGCGATGAGGATTTTCTCAGGAAGATGCACCACGTGCTGCTGGAGGTGAGACCCGGAGTGCCACCTGCTTCGCAGGCTACCCGCCCCCCCCCCCCCAAGCCACCAGTGCTCAACCCTGCCCCTTTCCCCCACAGGTGGACGTGTTGGAGGGCACCCTGCAGTGCCCAGAGTCTGGACGTATTTTCCCCATCAGCCGCGGGATCCCCAACATGCTGCTGAATGAGGAGGAAACTGAGAGTTGATTGTGCCGCGTCCCCTGTTTTCCTTTCCCAGAACAGCTGTAGATTTGCTTTTGTACGCGCTGTTAACTGGCTCTTGTCTTGTGCATCCTCAACCCACACGTGACCCACGGACACACCGACCACAGGGTTCTTGAGCTCGACAGTATATATATATTTTTCTCATTAAAGGTTTAAAACCAAAAGCGGTTTTCTTTGCAGCAAATATACATTAAAATAGAGTCTCTGTACAGCCAAAGGCTCTGGGCCCTGGCTTGCCCCATGGCCCTACGCCTCCCTGGCCAAACCCAAAAATAAATATAGTGTTATTGCTCTGCTGGGCATAGAGGCAGTGCCCTCCCCTCCCCCCAGGAGGTTGGTGGGAGTAGTGGGGGGCCCTGGCCACCCCAGGGGGTCCAGGGGCTGGAGCCTGCTTGGAGTTATTGCTTTAAGGGGGGGGGGGCAATAATGCCCAATGCAAATGATGAGAGGAGCGAAGGGGGTAGGGGCCTTTGCTTTCCAAGTTCCCCTCTGCTGGAGGGGGTCAGATTAAGCAGCAGCAAAAGCGTCACCCACTGGGAGACTTGAGCCTCCACCCCCTTCCCTCCCTGAGCTCAGGCTTCTGCCCCCCCTACACACACACCCTGCAGCCCCCTATGGCTTCCGTAAGGCCCCCTCCCTCCACGCTGGGGGCACATTATGGCTTGCAAGGGGCAGAACTGAATCCAGAGTGCCGGCAAACACATTCCCAGCTTCCGACACCCCCTGGGGAGGAGAGGGCCTGGGGCCTGCTCCCGGGGCTGATGGCATTGCCCTGGCCCTGCCAGCAGGCTGTGGCACTGCCCAGACCCCAGCTCTGCCCCCTTGGGGCTGACCCCATTGCTGGCGGGTCCTGCCAGCACCCCCACCTGTGCCCACCCCCTGCCTCAGTCCATCATGGCCTCGAGCATTTCCAAGAATAGCTTGTGCATGGGCACCTTGCCCTCCAGCTTGACTCCATAGAAGTGGGCCAGCACTTTGCCCGCTGTCTGACGGAGGAGTGGTAGTGTGAGCAGCAGCCTGCCCGCCCGCCGCCGCTCGGCACCCCCTCCAGGGCCTGCCCGGCCAGCTTCATACTCCAACAGGGCTTCATGCAGGGCTTCTCGCAGCTGCTCCACAGCCTCGGCATCCTCGATGTGCACAGAGTCTGCAGGGAGGGGGCAACTATTGACCTGGGTCATCTCCCAAAAGGGCACAGCCCCCATCTGTTTGGGGTAGATGCTCCTGCCATGAGCCACAACCCACCCTTTCTGTACCCCATCAACTCTGTCTCTGGTGCTCTCTTCACTGCCTTCCCCTGCACATAACAACCAATTCCTGGCCCTGCCCTTGACTTGCTGTGTGACCTTCAACAAGTTAATGATCTTCCCCAAGCCCCAACTGTCTTTACCTGCAAAAGAGACTGTGCCTTCACAGGTTAAGAAAGCCCATCAGTGCCCAGCCCAGACTCACCTGAGTTGGCAAGGGCCAGGGCCTTCAGCAGAACGTACTCTTCACGCTCAAGCCGCAGGGCTTGTAGTCTGCGCACCAGCTGCAACAGGGCGGCCCCCAGCTCCCCCAGGCCAGCAGCCCGCGCCCCTTCTTCATCCAGTACCAGGTCCTCAGCGAAGGCCAGCTCGTCTTGCAGTGGCAGGGAGCGCTGGGCTACACCCAGCACCAACACCTCCATCCACACACTCTGCAGCACAGACATCTGGTCAGACAGCGACAGCGACGAGAAGCCTGCAGGGCAGGGGAGCCAGCGTCACCGAGTCGGTGCCAGGGACCAAGTGTGGCCTGCCCCAGCTGTGGCACCTTGACCACCCAGCCCTTTACCTGGGATGCTCTTGGCCCAGCTGATGGTGACCACGATCTCTCGGTCAAAAAGGTCACAGAGAGTGGCCACTGCCGGGAGATGTCCATCAGGGCCCGCTGGGTCAGGCATGGCATATAGCTTCTCTGGCTCAACCACCAGTAAGTGAGACACCAGGGCATTCACTGGGGCTGCAGAGACAGTCAGGGACTCCTCAGGGACACTTGAACTCTCCAGTCCTAAAAGGCCTTTTAGGGTCAAGAATCTTCCCAAAGTCGCCTCTCTATGGCCTTCCTCGATGGCCACTGACCCTAGGCTCAGACCCCACCCTCCAGGGACAGGCATCTCAGGGAAAGCCAAGCTCAGAGTGTTAGGAAACCCTTCCTGCTCTTCCAACACGTCCCCCACCCCACCCCACCCCCGTGTCTATGACTGATACAGGAACATGTCTTCATCAATAGTTCTTGGAGAGATGAGTAAGGAGAGATGGAAGATGCCAGAAGCAGGAGCTGTGGTACTCTCTCACCTGTCTTCCGGGGACCTCCAGCTACTGCCAGGGGGCCAGCAGGGAAGGGTCCTGGGAAGGGCAGCGGGTCCACCTCTGGCCGGCGCTTGTACTTCTGTCTTCCACCTCGGACGCGGTCCAGACGTACCCCTTTAATAATAAGATAGGAGCATGTCCCTGGGGTTGCCTTTCAGAGTTCTCCTCCCAGCCCCCTTCCCCATCCAGCCCCCACAGGGCGCTCACCCTCTTTGAGCATGCCCACCCGCAGGCACTTGGTGAAGCGGCAGGCCTGGCAGGCCTTGCGTCTCCGCTTGGTGATCTCACATTCGTTGGAGGCCGGACAGCTGTACTCGATGCTCCCTGCCAGGAAGAGGCAGGGCTCCAGTGGCGGCCTCCTAGGACCCAGAGGGGGCCCCCGCTGACAGGAGAGCCCTGACTGGCCCCAGGCAATCACAGGTCTGGGGGTGTGGGGAGGAAAGGGAGAGTGGGAGCTCCGTGAGGGGGGAAAGCTTGCTGGGCTGGGGGCCTCTGCCTGCACCTCTGTCCCTAGCCATGTCTCTGGACCATTCAGCCCTCATCTGTTACCAGGGTCCCAGTGACTTACACATAGCTAAATTCGGTGGTCACATCTCAGTCCTCATCTTGGCCTAAAAGACACATCTAACATCACAGACCACTTCTGAGTCCTAGAAGCACTTTAACATGTTCCTCTGCTTCTAGACCACCACCCTCCTGATTTCCTCCCACCTCATTGTTCAGCTCTGTGATCTCTGTCCATCTGGCCTCCTTCCTTCAGAAAACCCCATCTCCAGTCACTCCCATGGTGACTGAAAGTCAGGGTCTTTACATTCTGTCCCTCTCTTGTCCAAACGTGCCTTGAACTCAACTCATCTCCAAATGGCTCCTAAAACATTGTGTGTCTAGAAAGCATCTCAAACTTAACATGTCCAAAGTGGAACTCCTGACCTGCTTCCTAAAGCCCGCAACTCCCATCCATCCATTGGCTCCTCAAGCCAGAAACAGGCAGCATCCTCCATGCCTCTTACAACCCGCAGCCAAGCCATCCACCAGTCCTGGTGGGCTTCACCTACACATATGGACAGGATCCGACCTTCCTCCCCATCCACAGCTTCCACCCTGAGGCACAGCCTCACCTCCTCTCAGTACAGCAGCCGAAGGCCTCTCACAGGCCCATCAGCCCCCCGATTCTTCTGAACCCTCCAACGACTTCCCTTCTCGAAATAAAAGCCAAGTGAACAAAATGGACTGCGAGGCCTACCTCCCATTTCCTACCACCTTTCCGCCTTCCTCTCACCCAGGCCCTGCCTCAGAGCATGCTGGCCCCTCTGCCTGAGTGACTCCTGATAACCACACACTCCTTGAATCCTTCAGGTCTGTGCTCAGGTGTCCCCTTGGGTAGCCTCCCCTTGCAAACCCTGTAAGAACAGCAGAGCCCACTCTCCTGCCCTCTACTCGGCATTATGGTTCCTCATCAGCTCTGAGCCCCATCTGACAATGTTACCTATTGTTTCTTTTCCGTCTTTCCAGTTTAGTGTCAGCTCCATGACGGTCAAGATTGTCTCTAGTGCTAGGAACAGGGGCTGGCCCAGGGCTGTCATTGTTGTCCACTGCCATCAAGTCAGCCCCAAATTCATGGTGACCCCAAGCTTAACAGAATGAAACCCTGCCTGGTCCTGCTCTGTCGCATGTTCAGCTGTGGACCAGGCTGTTGAGATCCAAAGGGTTTTCACTGGCTGATTGTTTGGAAGCAGATCACCAAGACTTTCTTCCTGGTGTGTCAGTCTCGAGGCACCACTGAAACTGTTCAGCATACGGGCCACAAGCACACTTCCCACGACAAATGAGTGGTAGCTGTGTAGGTGGTGAACAGGCTGCGAACTGAACCAGGTCTCCCGCATGGGAGGCAAGATTCCTACTATCAAACCACTGTCGTCTCCTGACTCATCGCTGTGGCTGTTGTTAAGGACTGTCAAGTCAATTCCAACTCACAGCGACCCTGTATAAGGTTTCCGAGGAGCGGCTCATGAGCTTGAACTGCCAACCTTGCGGTCCAGCACATTAACCTCACAGCACCACACCATCATAGGCACTCATAATTACTCGAAATGACTGGTGGCCCTCCTAGCTGATGGCCTACCACTAGGACCAAAACGAACACAGTCCACAGGCCAGTGGTCTGTTTCTCCTCACACTGCACTCTCTCCAAAGCCTATGTGGGCTTCCATGCGCAGCTCAAAACACCTCCTCAAGGAAGTCCTCCAGAGCCCGAGCCCCAGCCAGATCCCTCTGCCTTCTCTCTCCCTCCAGCACGCTATCTACCTCAGTAGTAATACAGCACCTTCTATTCTATTACAGTTTCCTATCTTGGCTGGAATATAAACTGCTTGAGGGCAGGGGCAATCTGACCTTGGTCCCAGGACAGTAGCCAGGGGAGGGGAGGAGCTCCAGAGGATGTCTGGGGTCTATCCAGACTAAACTACCACCTGTGTGACCCTGGGAACTTTCCAAACCTAGCCCCACAATTTCCCCATCTCCTAACGAGGTGGTGGTGGTGTACCACCGAGTCGGTCCCGACTCACAGCGACCCTGTAATAGTTTCTGAGGCTGTAAATCTTTATGGGAGCAGAAAGCCTCGGGACTGGTAGATTCAAACTGCTGACCTTGTGGTTAGCAGCCCTGCTCGGAACCCACTATGCTAATGTGAGAACTGGACGGGACAATACAGGTAGAAGATGTAACATGATGCACGGCACTGAAATGTCAGGAAATAGAGGATGCATTTTATAGCTAGTGTTCAATAAGCACTTGTCAACTGTGTGGACAGTGACCAAAGGGTCCCAGGGGGAGAAGGAAACACCTGGAGCTCAGTCTGTTGGCTTTCCTGATCCTCAGACAGAAAGACTACAGAGGGGGTTCACAGTGGGGACCTGGGCCAAGTCAAAACTTGCTGGAATGTCACAATCAGCTACAATCGTGAGGAGTCTGTCCGAAGTTCAGTTATTAGCAATAAAGAGAGACAGCAGTGTAAGGGCTTAACTCCAGAGCTAAACCAACTCACATTCAAATCCTGGTTCCACCATTTTCGACCTGTATGACTTGAACAATGTCCCCATCCCCAAGCCCTCAGAAAAGCACTTCTAAGCCTCAGTTTCCCAGTCCGTAAAGTATGAGCAGAATGCTGGTAGTTTATGGAGTTCCTGTGGAGGCGGAGACCATGGATGAAAAGATCATGGGGCCTAGCACACAGTAAGGACTCAAGAAAAGGTTTTAAGGGGGAAAAAAAAAATCCCAAAGTAATCAGTGGTTTAAGTAAGCACAGACAAGTGTGCACTTTCCAAGCAAGGATTACATCAGCATCTTGCTTCCGCACTCGGATTTTGATATATTTTCCTATGTGGGGAAAAATGCTGTGACTTTTAAAAGCAGTAATGCCTAAAATGTCTTTTTCTGGGTGGATAGTAAATATGTCATTCCCCTCCATCCCCCATCAAAACTTGGTGGGTGTTGGTGCTGTTTGGGGGAAATCAAAAGAAAAGGGGCATGTTCTATGCTGGCAAGAGATTGGCAACTGCCAGAAGCAAGAAGCAAGTAACCCAAGTCGAGGGACAGGCAGAGCCTGCAGTTTTAAGAACCCCTGTGGATGCAGATCAAGCAGGGATCCTTCATCCGTCATATCCCACATCCAATCCATCACCAAGTCCTGGTGGGCTTTATTTCACTTTTCAGGGAACGGGGGTTCCTGAAAGGTAAGAAGGCCGAAGAACACGAGATAGCCATCCTCAGGCAATACCATGAAGTCTGGGGGCTACTGCACCCACCAGCATGCACCAAGTGGCCGGCTCGAGGCCCAGGGGGGTAGAGAGCACAGGAGCGGGGTGGGGGCTCACCCTGGATGGTCCTCTTGAAGAAGGCTTTGCACGCCTCACAGGATGCCACACCATAGTGGTAACCGGATGCCACATCCCCACAGACCAGGCAGAGGCGCTTAGGCAGGGAGCTGAGCACCAGCTTCCCACCACCCTGCTCCCCAGGCCCGGCCCCCTCCCCATCCTCCTCCTCTTTATGGCCTGGGAGGCATCGGCTGGGAGCTGGACCAGGGGCCAGGGCCACTGGGGGCTCAGGCTCGGTCTCCGAGGAGCCCTTGGGGCTGTCCGGGCTGGCTGGCTCCGCCTTGATGTAGAGAGGCTCAATGCCCACCACCTGGCTGGACATGGCGCTGGTCACCTGCAGGGAGATACCCAGCATGTCCCAGGGAGGCACTGGGATGGGGGATGGGGAAGACAGACACCCTGCCACCGAGTTGCCCAACCCTGGGCCCAGGGCCAGGCTACCAGGCTCAGCAAGGGGGGAGAGGGGACAGAGTCCAAGAAAGGACTGCCCTAAAGAGGCCCCCACTGTTGCCATGGGAACAGAGTCTCCAGCACCTTCAGAGCCAGTAACTGACAGCCCGTCTCCTTTGGGGAGAGTGCTGGGAAACCCTATACTTGGGGTACCCTACTTGATAACCTTGGCCACCACCTTCAACCCCAGCTGGAACCCACCCCCCATCAGAAGCTAGATCCTTCCCAATTCTCTTCAGACATAGTCCCCCTCCCCTGGGTGTCCTCCATTCAAGATGAGGGTAACGGACACACTCACATTCCCCCTCCCCTGGGTGCTGAGGTGGTCCATGCTCACATGCAAATTCGCAGACACCCGTGCACACCCGTCTGCACACTCCTCCCCAAATGCCGGTGCACCCGTACACACAAACTCCAGCTTGGTGATCACACACGCTCTCGCTCTCCCACCGTGCCCCACACTTACACCCTGGCAGAGGCTCTAGTGAAAACATACCGGAGCCTTTCCCACCTGACACTCCACCTCCCTCCTGCCCAGCACCCTCAATCCCCGCTACGCCAGGCGCGCCTCCACCGCCCTGCGCCCGGTCTGCACGCACACTCACTCTTCACTCTTGCTGCCGCAGAGCCCTCCACCTCCCGGGCCACACTGACCGCCCCCCAAGCCGGCGCACACCTGCGGGAAGTTGCCTAAAGTTGCTGCGCCCGCGGGGGGCCTCTATCAGGTTATCAGGAAGTAAATGGGGAGGGCCAAAGAGGAGGAAGTTCTCCCCCGCCGGTGCTATGACCTTTGACCCACAGTGGAGGGTGGCCCGAGGCCCCTTCTAGCGCCCCCACGTGGTCCTCAAAGCCCCCGGCCCGACCTGGAACCTCCCCATCTTCCACTCCAGCTCACCCCTGGGACCTCGGCTGGTCCCAGGTACTGGTCTGGACCCTGTCCTGGGGCTAGATCTGAGGCCCCAGCCTGAGCGGGCCCGGAACCAGAGAGACAGGCCGGCCCACCAGGACCCCGACGCCGGACCTTGTCCGGAACCTAGCCCCTCCTGACTCTCAACAGGGTCGAGACCGAGACCCAGACGGGCCAGGACCCCCGCCCCCCGCCGCGCTCGCACATGGCCCCGCGCCCCGCCCGCCCCCGGCGGCGCTCCCCTCCGCCCCCGGACCTGGGGCTCCGGCTGGGCGGGCGGGCAGTCATGGGGGCCAAGCGGCCCAGAGCGCCGGGGTAAGCCGGAGTCCGCGGGCGGCCCGTCCTCCGCCGCCTCTTCGGGCCGCGCCGCTCCGCCGCGCCGCGTCCCCTCACTCGGCGGCGCCGCCGGCGGCTTGTAGGACACAAAAGGACATCGCGGCCGCTTCCTACTCCGCTTCCTCCAGCTGACAGCGGAGGCGGGGCCGCCGTGCGCATGCAAAGCAGGGGGCGGAGCCCGGCGCCCTATGCTAATCAGACAAATGGGGCGGGCAGCGTCTGCGTGCCTGGAAGACTTGGGGCGGAGCCAGCGGAGCCAGTGGGAAGGCCTTTAGATAGGTCCCACCCAGCCGCCTCGGAGTAACAGAGGCGCACCTGCATACGCGACAACCGAGGGGGCGGGGTCGGAGGAGTCGCGGAGCGGCGCAGGGAATAAGAACTGAGAGGGGGTGGGTCCAGGGGCGTGGTTACGTAACGGAGGAGGTGGGGCGCGCAGTGTGCGAGAGGAGTGGGTGAGGTAGCTCAGTGGCCGCAGCTGCGGAGTAGATAAAAAAATATATATGTAAATGAGAGGGCGGAACGTGCGGAGAGGCTGCGTATCTACATATGCATGAGGAGCAGAGCTTGGCTCACTCCAGCAAGAGTGGAGGCGGTGCTCCTTTCCGTTTTCCCCATTTCCAAGGTAATACCATCGGGGTACTGGACCCCAGACTCAATACCCCACAAGACTGCGGAAACAGAGGTGGAAGAAGCAGAACTAACACATGCAAGAAATCTTGGATTTCGAGTCCCTGGAATGCGAGGCCGCTAGGGCCCCGGACGACAAAGCTCAAGGTCACTGCGGTGACCGTCTGAAGGTCACGGGCGAAGGAGGGGCCCCTTGCGTCCGCCTCACGCGGGCAGCCACGCACTGACTCACGGACCATTCATAGACTCTTTTATTTCTCTCGGGCTCAGATTCCGCGCGCTCGGGGGTGGGCTTGGGTCTGGGGGCGAGACAGGGGCTGGAGTCCGGTGGCAGCTTGAGCCTGTGGCGGTGCTCTCAATGCTCTGAGACGTACAACATTCTCTTGTTTCGGCGCTTCTTGAGCCCGTCGATGTTACGCTGGAGCTCCTTGGTCAGAAAGTGGTCCCAGCCGATTCCCGACCTGTAGCCTAGAAGGAGGCAGGGTTCCGCTCAGGACAGTGAGCTGGGAATGGTCTCCGCTGCAGCAGGCGCTTCAAGTCCTCGGAGGAAATGGGTGATTTGTGGTGGGGTAGTGCTTTGTGCTCGGGTCTGTGTTGGTTTGGAGAACTCTCGAAAGCGCTAGGGTCAGTGCCGGTTTTGTTTTAAATGGGCTAATCTTAGACCGAAGCTCCAAATAGATGGAGGAAGTGGGCAGCCAGGAGGCCAGTGTTAGTGGAAGGCAAGTTTAGAGAAGGTGATGTAGGCTTGCTCTAAGGCAAGTGGAGATCTCTTGCACACCTCCCCACCGCCGGCCCACTCTAAACCAATGGTCAACCTCTCTACCCCTGGACCTTCCTGCCCAAAGGTTCCACGTAACATCTGGTGGCGGAAACTATACAAAGTAAAGTCTGTGGTCCTCATGGAGCAGGTGGAAACAAAGTCTCAGCTAGAGAGGGGCTGCACTAGGCACTAGGGTTGGTCCCAGACCCCACTGATCACCTTACTGGATACCCTGGTTCCGGATCCCTAACTTTTTGTATAGGGGCGCCTGGAATAGCAACCCTGTGTAAGGAATCCTAGGAGCAACTGGTTTGAACCTCCAACCTTTCTGTTCAAACCCACCAGTCGCTCCTAGGAAACCCTATGTTGTTAGGCCGCACGTCATCCTGGCTCATAAATTTAGAATTTCCTGTATAGAATTTCCTAGGAGCAACTGGTGAGCTTGAACCACCGACCTTGCAGCCCAATGCATTAACCCACAGAGCTACACCAGGACTCCCAGAAAACTGTCTCAAAGGCACTTTAACAAGTTCTGATTCATTAAAGGGGAAACCCCACCCCCACAATGACAGGCTCTGCAAAAACCTCTAGAATCTCTTGACAAAGATGGACAAGGGGAGGTGGGGAGACTCACTCTGGAGGGCCTTGGTGAGAATTTCCAGAGCTTCATTCTCCATGAGTTCAGTCAAGGGTAGTGGCAGCTGGGGAGGTGGTAAAATACTGAATGTCCCACCTGCTCCCTCAAGACCCACAATCACACTGCCTGCCTCTCCATCCTGCAAACCCCCACCCACTAAAACTCCCAGGCCCCCTAGGACCCTCCAACCCTGTTTTGCTGCTCTGCCCAGTAGGCAACATGAGGTGTCTGATTCGTGAGAGTAAATGATGACACGGAGGAAGACTTTTCTGGAAGAAGAGAGAAAAGAGGAAGCAGTCAGTCATATGGAGACGTGGATAGGCACGTGGGGGGAGGAGAAGGGCTCTTCAGAGACCAGCTGCCAGGTTCTACCTTATTAGGAGACAGTATGAAACAGGGTGATAATCCTGGACTTTAGAGCCCCACCCACCCACCTAGATTTACATTTTCACTGCCCCTCTGGGAGATCTTTCTCCCCTCAAATCGCTTCATCTGAAAAATGGGGTCATAACAGTATCCTCTTTAAATTTGTGACGTTTAAAGGTTATAATGCCCTGGAAGCCCCATACTTGGCACATAGCAAGTGCTCAATAAATTGGCAGTCATCATATGGTCACTTCCAATTCCCTGATAAATCATTTGGGGGTGGGAGTGGGAGGGAAGGAGGAAATTCCACTACATACAATGCCTAGCACATAGTTGTTGTTAAGTGCCATCGAGTCAGTTCCGACCCATAGCGACCCTGTATAGGGTTTCCGAGGAACAGCTGGTGAGCTTGAACCGCCAACCTTGCAGTTTGAACGGCTTTGCAGTCTGGCGCATTAACCCACAGCGCCACACCAAGAGCATCTGTCCTAGCCTTTGCACATTTGGGTGAGTGGTCTCCTACCCGCCTCCCAAAGTCAATTATCACACCTGCCCGGTAGGGGGCACTCCAGGAATGTCTGATTTAAAGCGTGATGTTAGAAACCTGGAGTCTATGGTCCTCCTCCCTCCCCCATCTTACAACAAAGAGAAGGCAAGACACCCACCCCACCCCACCCCACCCCACCCCCACCCCTGGCCAGCATCCTGCCTTGAGAGTCAACTGCCCACAGAGTCACTGACCAGGCCCGGTCCTGGAGTCATTGTTTCCCTCCAAAACGTTCTCCTGGGAGCCTCTATGATCCAGTTGCAGATTCAACAAGGTGTGTTCACCCGACTCCTGGTTTAAGCTGTGATCACCGGTCAGAGAAACGCGCCTTTCCTCGGCTATCCATTCAGGGGTATCCAAGTCAACGCCGGTCTCTGAGTATTCGGAGACATTGGACGGCGGCACCAACTGTGACTGGGACAGCGTGGCTGTGGTCCATAAATTTCGGACGTCGCTCTGCTGACGCGGCCTATCCAAGCTGAGGTGAGCCAAAGATTCAAGCGATTCCTACAGATTGCACACAAGGAAGGGAACCAAGGGTGGCAGGGAGTAAGACCCGGCTGCTAGTAGGGAGCCCGAGCCAGGCCAGGGCACCCGCTCCTATGGGGACGAGTGTAAAGTGTGGGGAGCCCCGGGTTCGAGCCAGATCTAGGATGAGTCTGGGAGATACTGGGGTGTGGGACTTGGGAATCCACCAGAAGAAAACCATCCCGCCCCGTCGCTACTGTTAGAATCCTCACTTCAGACGAGTTTTCCTCCATGGTTCTGCCCAACGGACCCAGGCGGCACAGCTCTCCCTAGGGCGAGGAGAGGGTCACGCTCCAGGAATGGGGAGGGGCAGGGTTTCCTTCTCAAACGGCATTGAGGTCTCGCGCTTAGAGGGAGGGCTCGTGCTCCCGCTTGCCACGCCTTAGCCTCGCCTACCCCCCCCCCCCCCCCCAAGTTTCTGTGCCCTAATTGGAGTGGCCTAGGTCAGGCCCTGGAGTCCTGGTGTGGTGCTATGGGTTAAATGCGCCGGACTGCAAGGTCGCTTTGAACCACAAGATCGGAGGTTCAAGCTCACCAGCCACTCCTCAGAAACCCTATACAGGGTTGCTATGAGTCGGTACCGACTCGAAGGCACATAACAACAACAACACAACAGGCCATGCATGCCCTACCAGATCGCACAGTACAAAGGGTGGGCCATGACCCACGTCAGTGCCCTAAGGGTCTCCGGGAGGGGTCTTCGCGAGACTGCAGAGACCCGACGCTAACGCCCACACCCTCTAGCGTCCCCGGAGCGCGCACGCCCTTAGCGGTGAACAAGGTTTTAATTTATTGATCCAGGCTTTGAGGCACAGTCGTGAGGTGTGAGTGGTAGGCCCCGCGGGGCGGAAATACAGAAAAGTCCTGGGGTCTGGAAATGGACGGGTGGAGGGTGGCGGGAGTTTGGTGATGGACAGGCAGCCCGCAGCCTTCTCCCCGAATGCAGGTCCCATTGAGAAATGCGCTCTTTGGCCAAACAAGCTGGTCATGCGGGGGTGGGGGAGGGAGGGGTAAGGAAGCACAGGGAGAAAGCCCTTAGGGAGGCCGACCGGCCGACCAGGATCCTGCCTACACGGGCTCGCCTTAGTCCCGGGGGCGCCCGGAACCCCGGGGTCGCGCGGGCTTCCTGGGGGCGTTGGGGCGGCGGCGGCCCTTGGAAGCCCCGGAGACTGCACACCCGCGCTCGCTCTGCGTGTCCGAGGACTCGTCGATGAAGGCCAGGTTCTCACTGGGGTAGTCCAGGGCGGAGGCTGTGGGCGGGGACGGCGGCTCCACCTTCTCTTGGGGCTCAGGGGGTCGAGGCTGGACAGCGGGCTGTTCGAAAGCAGGCGGCGGAGGCAGGAGCGACCGCTCCTTCTCGGGTGGCGGCGCCGTGGACCCGGCTCTTTGGGTCACCCGCGCCGTCACCGTACCGGTCCAGCTAGCAGCCTGCGCTGTGAGGCCGCCCATCTGCGCGGAGAGGAGAGGTGCCTTCCAGTGCGTGGGGCCAGGGTCCTAGGCGCCCTCCTTTTCGCCAATCAGCGACTGCCCCTCTATTTCTCCTGTTCCTCCTGCCTCAGCCCTTAACCGTCAGCATTGAAGCACCCCTTTCTCCCGGAGCTTTCTAAAAAGCCCTCATTTTATTTCAGCTCTCCGTCTCGTGCCCCAAAGGCCTTTGTGCTTCTGTCCCCACTCCTCGCTGGTCACTCCCAGTAGGGTTGCAAGATACAGGAGGCCCCGTTAAGCGCAAATTTCTGATAAGCAACAAATAAATTTCTAGTATAAATATATCCCATGCAACATTTAGGACATATTTATGCTAAAATAGTATTCCATATTTACCTGAAATGCATATTTAACTGGGCTTCCCGCCATAACTGGCAACCCTATCTGAGAGGGCAGACGTGACGGAGTCACACGCAAACCTGGCCGAGTTGACCTCTCTGTTTGCGGCCCCTCCAAGAGCCCACTCTCTGGAAGAGAGACAGACTGGTCAAGTAGCTGATGGGGCACCACCATGATGCTAACGTGCAGACCAGCATTGAGCTGGCTGCCTACCTCTGCTCGCGTGCGGCGGGACACCACTCGAAGCCAGTTTCCAATGGTGGTGAGCACCGAGGCGAAGTAGGCCAGGCCGAGCAGGATCCAGAACCACACCAGCGGCTGGTAGGCTGGAGTGTCCTGCTTGGGGTCGGCGCCTGGGAGACCACCAGGGAGGGTGGAAAGAAGTCGCTTATGTGACCTGGGTGTTACCTATGAGCAGCCAGGTAGGTCTCTGCCCTACTCTTTGAGAGAGCCATCCCTCTCCAGAGCAATGACGATGTTCTAGAGTGTGTGAGGGCTTATATGATGGCGAATGGGGCATAAACTGAAGACGCACACGGGCGAGATTCCAGTATGCATAGGAATGCAACATACAAGAAAGTGAGCAGGTGTGCAAGAATATGACTTCTGTGTGGGGTGCCCTTGGGTGCAGGCATGCAAGGGCGTAAATATTGCACACGTTACACAATGCACGAATGTGAGAGTTCCTTCTGTGAGTGGAAGAAGGTGTTGGAGCAATCACATAAAAAGTGCCACGTGGACTTTGGAGGGAGAGGTGAAGGCAAAGTGCCTTGGGTGGGTGGGGAAGCTCGCAGGGGAGGAAGGGTGGCCTCACCGGCCACATAGTCTCCAAAGCCCACTGTAGTGAGCGTCACTATGACGAAGTAGATGGCCTCCAGCTTGCTCCAGCCCTCCACATGGCAGAAGACGAACATGGGCGTGAGGACAAAGAGCAGGCAGCCGATCAATAGGAAGAGCACCGCGGACAGCACCCTCACCAGCTCTGGTGGCACGTGCCACTTCTGTGGGGAGGGGTGGTAGGCAAAAGCGAGGAGACACCAACACCCTCCACTCCCAGCACCACCCACTCCCCCCAGCCTGCGCTTCAGGTTCTTATGATCTAGGGGCGCGCTCATGTACCGGAAGGGATGTAGGGAAGGGTCTCTCGGAACTCAACGCAAAGGCGCACCCCCTTTGGAGTAGCTCACCAAAAAGATGGCTTCAATGTGGCCGATTCCGCGACGCAAGGAGGAGCCCAGGCGATCCCCAACCCCTGCCAGCAGGATGCCAAACAGTGGGATCCCCACCAACGCGTAAAAAATGCAGAAGAGGCGCCCTGCGTCAGTGCGCAGAGCTGCGTTGCCATAGCCTGGGCAGAGGAATGGCCAGACGTCTAGAGGCCACACCGCCTTGCCTTACATGTCCTCCCTCCCCCGCACCTCCTCCCTCAAGGAACCCCACCCCTGCCCCACGCCCCCTCCACATGTCCTGTCCCTCCCGAACCGATAGTGGTGATGATGGTGCCGGAGAAAAAGAAAGCGCTGCCCAAGTTCCAGACAGAGTAGTTGCTGTTACTGGTTGAGTTGGTTTCAGGGTCTGCACCCCCTCCCAGGGCATCAGCCACTTCCTGCAGGACAAGGTTCAAAAGGAAAATCCTCAATCCTCCCTCCTGTCCTGGCCACCGTCCTGCCCCTCCAGTCTCAAGGGTGGCTCTCTCCCCTTTCCCCTGTCCTTCCTGAAGACAGTCAGTTCCTTGGAGCAAAGATTGCAAATTCAGCGACCCCATCCACCTACAGCCAAGTCTGTTCAGCCCCCTCAGTGGTTTGCATTATCTGCCTCCTAATTTCAAGAAACAGACTTCCAGTTTCCTGGTGGTTAGAAGGGAGTCTAGGACCAGACTGCCTGGGTTCAAATCTTGGTGCCCTCATTGTGATCCTATCAAGATGGTTGATGATAACAGTACTCTTCTCATAGAATTTTTTGGAAGAGATAAAGTCCTTACAACAAGAGTGTTTGTTCAGTAAGTTTTGATGTAATGAAATGCCCTGAAATTTCCCACTTTCCACAGACCCCACCATTCCTTAACGTTCCAATTGGAAAGTTGAGTCCTTTACTTTAGACAATGAGGGTTTGGGACATTCTCTCTCACAAATATTTTTTCAAATACGGCATCAAATTTTAGAGGTTCCTATAGATACATCACCCCCACCCCACTGAAGTCCAAGCCAAACCCTGTCCCACACAGTAAGTACTCAATAAACATTGTTAAATGAATGGCATGTCCATGCATCTTTTCCTCCTGCCAGCCTGCAAACCTTTTAGGGACAGGCTCTGTGTTTTGATAGTGCCTGCCCTAGGAGATAGGAGGACACAGAATAATGAGGAGGGGGCTCCATGAAGCCCTCCTCAAGGAGTACAAAGCCAAGACATGAAGACATTGGGCTGTGGGTGGGATAATAAACTACCTCTTCATGCTGGCTATACCCCTCATTAGCAAGACCCATTCTAAATGAATCTTCCTAAAGAAACTGCTCAGAATCCACCATAGTTTCCTGCTAGGTATAGATAGAACAGAGTCCAAACTCCCTTGCCCAACATTCAATTATTATTCTTTTTTAAACTCTGGTCCAATCCCCTTTATTCCAGTCTTCTCTACTTTGACTTTCATTTGGAATCCCAAGTTATGGCAACCTTGCTCTCTGATTTTCTGAAATGATCCCATTTTCTGTAATAATCATTTAAAAAAAAAAACAAAGTCACAAAATGAAATGTCTGATTAAGTGATTTAATTTTTATTTTGCAACACTTTTCCAATAAATTAACTACTCCTTGGGAGTGGGAATCCTTTGTTGTCCTGTATGTTCTAATTTTTGTTTCAAATGACTAGGCAGCTGATAAAGCACTCAGAGCTGTCCAACCTCCATGCCTTGGCCCAGGTTGTTCCTCCTCCTGGGAGCCTCTTGTCCTCAACGACATCTCTCTAAACTCTCTCCATCTTATCTGGCACATTTCCAGTTCCAGCTCTCTCAAAGCCCTCTGGGAGAGCTCCTTCCTTATTCCCAGCACCCAGCCCAGAGGCTGGCACACAATAACACCCTATGGGTCCGTCCCCTTTCCTAGATGTGACAGCTTTCAGGACAGAGTTGCATTATTTCCATCCTGATATGGTGTAAAAGAGCTCTGATGGCACTGTAGAATAAGCACTGGGCTGCTAACCAAAAGGTCAGCAGTTCAAACCCATCAGTCACTTCTAGGGAGAAAGATGAGGCTTTCTGCTCCAATAAAAATGTATAGCCTAGGAAACCCTATATGGGGTTGTTATGAATCAGAATAGCTGTGAGTGAGTTTTTATGGTGGAAAGCATAGCACTAACACACAGTAGTTGCACATTTGCTGCATAAATGACTAAATCAAGGACTGAATCTCATGATAGAAACCTAAATCAGCTAGCTGCCGGACACACACTTCCAGAACCTGCTCCTTGCTTGTTTTTTTCTTTCTTATCCAGGAAGAAAGTCATTCTGCTGTGAAGAAAAATAGGTCAGGTTCCCTCCTCCCTCTGCTTTATGGTCTAGCCATACGCACTCACTATCCAGGGCTCACTCACACACTGGAAGGGTCAGAAACTGCCAGCTGCCTGTGTCTTGGCCCCACCCCACCCACATCTCTATCCCAGCTGGAGCTCTGAGCTCTCTCTACTAAAAACAGGCAAGGTAAGAGGGGAATCTAAATCGAAGTTGTTATTAAGTGCTGACGAGCCGGTTCCGACTCATGTGACCCTATGTAGGGTTTCCAAGATGCAGCTGGTGGATTTGAACTGTCAACCTTGTGGTTCACAGTTCAGTGCTTTTCCTACAGCACCACACCAGAATTCCAAAATTAAATTAAAAATTAAAGTTAAATTTTAAGAGCTTTCCCAAGTGACCCAAACCAAACCCACACTGCTCTCAAGCCAATTTTGACTCATAGTCCTGGTGTGGTACTTCAGGATAAGCACTGGACTGATAGCCACATGGTCAGTCGGTGGCTCAAACCCATAAGCCACGCCTCAGGAACCCTATACAGGGTCACTCTGTGTTCGAACTGACTCAATGGCACTTAACAATAACAGACCCCACCGGACGGACTGTCCCCATAGGGTTTCCAAGGTTGGACTCAGACTGACACACTTCTCTCCCCAAGAAACAGTTGGTGGATTTAAATCACCAACAGGCCAAGGGTTAACCACTGCACCAACACGGCTCCTTTCTCTGTGACCCAAAAACTCCATGGCCGGCCAGCCGATTCTGACTCATATATAACCCTGGGGTGGTGCTGTAGAGATGCACTAAGACTGCAAAGGTGGGTTTGACCCACAACATTGGCCACTCCTTGGAAACCCTATACAGATTTGAGTTGGAACCAATTCAATGAAATAACAACAGTATAGCGTACACTTGCCCCATAGGGCTTCCAAGGCTGTCAGCTTAAGGTTGGTGGGTTAGAACCATGGACCTGTTTGTTGGCAGCCGAACACATATCCCACTCAACTGGTAGGTTTGAACAGTCAACCTTTGGGCTAGCAGCCTGATGACCCACAGTACCATCAAGGCTCCTTTCTATATGACGCTGACTCAGAAATCCAAGAAAACACAGAGCTGAGCCCCTGACAATGTCCCAGAAGGCTGAACTCTCTTTAGCTACTGGCTGAGGTTCACCAGGAGTATCTCAGAGAAGTCTGAGGCTGCCCCATCCCTACCTCCCCACAGCAAGCATGTGTTCTGGAGGGAATGGAGTGTTTAATCTGGCATCCACAATGACATGTGCGGGCATTAGGGGATCCTGGAATCCTCTGGAACCACCCATACATGTTTACATGTGTACTTTTCTGGGGGTGGGGAGAGCATTCGCAGTATTCTCCTCAGGATGAGGCATCTGTGACTCCAAAAATGTGTTGGAACCACTGTAGGTTTGCCAAGTCTAGCAAATTAAACTATATCCTGGGACATATTTACACTACAAAAGTATTTGTTGTTTACTGAAATCCTAATGGAATTGGCCGCCTGGATTTGATCTTGCAACTGTAACCCTAAACCAGTGAGATTTGTGAAAAATGGAACACAACTTCTGGGCTACTATCATTCCTTCCGCTCACTGCTCATCACACACAGAAGGCTGACAGCATCGGTCAAGGAGAACCAATGACCATAGCTGCGATATTAAGAACACAGAGGCCTGGGCACCAATCTCTGAACCACCCCACCCAAGCTGCTCTCTGCACCCAGGGGCATCAATCTGGAGGCAGCACCCCAGTACAAGGCCCCCTGGCATGGATGACCCATGAAGAGGCTCTCGCCCACCCACGCACCTTGATGAAGTGCCCCAGCTCCTGGTTGCTCACACAGGGATGGGCCCTCAGGAACTTCTCTCGGACCTCCCCCAGCTCCCTCTGGGCCTGCTGTTCGTGGGGCTGCTCCAGGGCCTGGAACACCAGAGCACCCGACACCAAGTACAGTAGGACCAGCGCCAGCAGTGCTAACAGCGTGGTGCTGCGCATGACGCGGCCAGGGGCCAAGCCAGTACCACTGCCCGACTCGGGTGGCCGGGCAGGGTGCTCCTGGGGAACTGCGGTCACTGCGGGCAGAACCAGGGATTCAGGGATCAATAGCCTGGCCTGATAACCCCTGCCCCCTCCTCCTTCATCCCCTTGCCCCGATCCTACTTCCCAGGGATGCCCCTTCTCACATCCCTCTGGCTGGAAACTCGGTGGGTGCCAGAGTCCACCCAGCATTTACTGCACAGATTATCGCCGGCTCACGCCTTACCTCCACTGCCGGCTCTTAGGAATCCACTCCAGGGACTCGGGGAGTGAGAAGAGAAGAGGGCACAGGGAGGGGAAGGCAGGCGAATGGAAGGGAAACAGACTGAGCGTTCGAAGGAGGGTCAGGGGGATGCGGGGGACACGGAGGGAGCATAAAGAACCGGTATGTCCTGGCCGTTGGCCGTCGAGGTGGAGGCGGAGGGGGCGTGGAAGGGCGCGAAGACCAAGCTGACCGAGAGGCCGGTCCGCTTAGGGCGGAGTTCTTGGCTGCGGCGGCAGCAACAACTTCGCTGCTTCCCGCTGCCCTCCCGCCAGCCACTCCCAGCTCCGTGCGAGCTGCGCCAGGCCGGCCCCCCAGACCCCAGCGTCCCACCAGGCTTTCGAGGAACCCAGGGGCGGGTTCTGCCGAGGCACAGAGAGGGAGGGCGCCGGGTTCCCGGAAGGAGAGGGTGGGGGCGGGAAGGGCCGACCCGTGCAACGACCCCTGGACACCGCCAGCCCTCTGGACAGCGGGTGACAGTACCCACGCTCTGGACTCGTTCCGCCGCCCGCGGACACAAAGCCCCGCGTGCCCCGGCTCCGCCCTGCGGCTCCGCCCGCGCCGTCTCCTGGTTGTCCGCACGCCCTCCACCTGCACACGCCTGCACTCTCCCGGGCACCTCAAGACCCCATGGGGTGCGCTCATCGCGGAAGTCCACGCACACATATGTACACGCGCGCGCACACACACACACCAGCCCGCCGGCCACCGCAGAACGCCCGCTAGCCCCGACACGCGTCACCGCGCTCCCACAGTCTCCTGCGCGCCCACGTCGACGCCTCCAAGCGTGGCGGGCCGCGTGGCATGACTCCCCGCGGCGCCCCACGCGGAGGTGGGCGCCTCGATCGCCCACGCCCAGAACCCGGCTCGCCCGCCCCGCACTCACTGTCGGCCGCGCTGCGGATGCCGCTGCGGCCAGACTCCCGCGCTGCCTCGCCGGTACCCGCTGGGCAGCGGAGGCGGTGGCGGCAGGGGCGGAGCAGGCGGTCGCTGAGGCTGAGACCCCCCCTCCCGCTGCCGAGAGCCCCCTCCTCTCCTCTTAACCCCTCGCGTGCCGCGCCGCCCTAGCTGCTGCACCCTTTCTGCCGGCGCCGCCCCCACAACTCTGTACCTGCGGCCGCCAGCCCCCGGATCCCGCCCTGCACGGTGGAGCAGTTCACGGAGGAGTTGGAGAGGGTTCATCACAGGGTCGGGCCAGCGTCTCTGGCCTGAGTGAGCCTTGATGCTGCCCCGCAGCCTGGTCGGCTCCCGGCTGGACATCAGGCGGCCCACCTCTCCGCACCAGCGCTAGGCTGATCTCCGGGCGTCTCCTAGACCCATTACCGGATCAGGAAGGCGCCTCATCTCCTCATTCCTTCGGAAAGCCGCTCTTTGGGCTCAACACTCCATTGAGGATGGTCCTACAGAGGGGGGCCCCTCGCGGGACAAAGGGTGGAGGCCACCAAGGATTGGTCTGCGTGAGGGTTGGGACCTGGTTATGTGAAGTCCATGCTGCAGCATCCCCTGTCCCTCCTATGTCCCCAAGCTTTAGTGCTCAGCTCAGTGCCCAGGGGTCAGTCCCAGGGCCGGAGCTGTCCACCAAATCCCAGCATGGACTGGTGCCAGTGCTCCCTCCCCCACTACCTGCCCAGCTCCGCCCCCTGCTGGTCCTGGAATGCTACCTCTCCCAGAGTTCTCAGCTCACCCTGATCACTACCAGACCTCAGGTCTCCCGCTGTGTTTCAGCTGTGGGTTTGGGGGCTGACCACCCCTACCTCTGGAGCCTTTCCTCCATCTACAATAAAATGCTCTACAAACGTTAGTCATTTCCACTTCCACCACAACTGAGTCTCCGGTTGCCCTCTCTGGTGGCCCTTCAGGCCAGATGCCAGGATAGTCCCAAGTGAAGGGTTGCCAGGTAAGCTTGGTAGTAGGCTCTGGGAGCTAGGAGGAGTTGAGGCGGGCACTTTTGAGTAGGAGGAGCAGATCTGTGCTTGGCTGGTAGGCTGTGGGTGTTGAGAAGGGGCCCCCAGGGAGTGGGAGCACCCAGCCAGCATGGCCAGACCTCCCGACCTGGTAGAGATGTGAGCTCCTCAGTCACCTCAGGTGGTGTGTGTGTGTTCCTGATTGATTAGGGACAAGAGGCCTAACTTAGTAGTCAGAGATAGGGACCCAGGAAAGGGGAATGAAGGCTTCAGTGAGGAGGTGACATTGAAAACAAGTTTAGGAAAGAGTAGAAATTATCATGTGGGGAGGAGACTGCAGTGTGAGGGGGCTGGTTCTGGGCAGAGAGAACTTTCTAGAACAGTGGCCACCCTTCCCCCTCTGTCAGCAGGCTCTTCTTCACCCTGTCTACCAGCCTCAGTGGCCCGCTTCACAACCTGGAGTGTAATCAATCCGCCTTAGGTGACGGTGGGAAGCTGAGGGAGGAGACACAGAAAACAGACACAGGGCACAGACTCTGTTTATTGAGTGGCAGGCACAGGAGAGGTAGCTGGCTCCAGTGTTGGAGCGGAAATGGCAGGTCATGCCAGGGTGCTGTGGGCATCTGGCAGCCAGGGCCATGTCCCCCCACCCTAGGGGGGTGGCACAAGCTCACTACGACAGGAGCAGCCAAGGAGCCAGCCAGGATCCTGGGCAAGAAGCGGCAGATTGGCACAGGGACCGGGGTGAGGGGTACTAGGGTTTGGGCATCCTAGGGGGAAGTGGGGATCACGTCTGCGGGGTAGAGTAGAGGCTGTGGTGGTGGTCGCCTGGTCCTGGCATGTGGGAAAAGAGCAGAGGAGTGGTCCGCGTCTGGCTGCCCCCACACCAGCTCGGCTCACGCCCGATGGCGCCATACCAGCTACCAGAGCCTAGGCTGCCTGACATGCTGCGGGGAGAGAAACCAGGTCAGTCCCAGGGCGTTGGCCAGGACCCAGTTCACAGGACCAGGGGAGGAGTTGTGGCTTAGAGCAGAGTATGCTGGGAGAGACTCCCCTGCTTCAGACCTCCAGGGCCAGAGACAGTCAACTGCATCCTGGGGTAGCATAGGGGAGGGGGAAGGGCCTCACCTCATGGAGACAGGAAAACCAAGGCCTTGGTGGGGGACAAGAGCCAGCTCTGGATCCCCCATGACTCCTACCTGGTACTCTCACCCCGGCTGTGTTCCCAGGAACAGCTCTCGTCTTCACAGTGCCCCGCCCGGTCAAAAAAGTAGGATCGGGAGCCGAACACGTGCCCACTGAGGATGCGGCTGGCGCTCTGCAGGGAGGAAGCCATCCTGATTCTTTCTTAGCCCCCACCAGCCTCTCATACCCCAGTGTCTGCCCCTCTCCACTGGGCCCACAAAGGAGGAGGAAGGCCCTCACCAGGTCCTGAGGGGGCCGGTGCACCCGAAAGAAGCCCACCAGCAGGGTGGTAGGCAGAAGCTCCCACACAAAGAGGATGAGGCCAAACACCAGGTAGCCTTTGTTCCCCAAGTCATTCACCAGATCTGCCTGTGGGGAGGGAGTTCATATCAGTCGGGTCAGCTGGGGGCTGGGAGCCATGGCTGGAAGGAGGCAGGAGACTTGCCAAATGCCCACCTGGTCAGAAACATTGTACCAGTCATAATCAAAGGCATCCAGCCGGCTCCGGGGGGCCAAGGCCAGGGCCGCCAGGTTGTAGCAGGCCCGGCTGGCATAGAGCAGGACCATGGTACCACCCATCGCAGCCGCCTGGCACACGCTGGTCCCCTGATACAGACAACAACAGGAGACCCTCAGGAAGAGATGGTTTCTAGTCTCCTCTCTACCCTGAAAACAGCTGCCCAGAAACCCCGAAGCACATCCAGCATGAGAGTCTGTGGCCCTACCTTGGCCTCCAGGTAGATGCTGGTGGAGGGGGCACGCCGGGCCACGAGGCAGAGGCAGGCGGCAAGAGAAAGCGCACAGATGACGAAGAGGGAGTCGCTCACCAGGATGCGCACCAGGAGGAGGGCCCAGGGCTGCGCCCGGCGCCGACGGGAGAGCACAGCACACAGCACGTTCACCAGCAGAAAGAGCAGCGAGGCCCCCACAAAAGCCCCTCGGACAGCCAGCCTGCGGCCCACAGCAATCAGTAAGGAACGCTCACTGCACATCCAGTCTCTCAGAGGAGCACCAGAGCCCATCCATCCCAAACAAATCCACTGCCATCGAGTGGATTCTTACTCATAGCAACTCTACAGAACAGAGCAGACCTGTTTCTGTGAGTTTCTGAGACTCTTAATCTTTATGGGAGCTGACAGCTTCATCTTTCTCCCTCAGAGTAGCTGGTGGGTTTGAACTGCTGACATTGTGGTTAGCAGTCCAATGCTTAACCTACCACACCACCAGGGCTCCTTCCAGAGCCCATCTGTTGCTGTTAAGAGCCACTGAGTCGGTTCCTACTCACGGCGACCCTATATAGGGTTTCCGTGGAGTGGCTGGTGGGCTTGAACCACCAACCAAGTGATTAGCAGCCCAGTGCTTATCCTACAGAACTACACCCAGAGTCCATTGTTGTTATTTGCCATCAAGTCGGTTCCAACCCACAGCGACCCTGTATAGGGTTTCCAAGGAGCAGAACCCCAGTAACCCCAGCCTAAATCCTGATCCTCCAGTTTTACAGATGGAGAAACTGAGGTCCAAAGAAGCCAAGAGGTGACTGACAGCTGTGATCAATTTCAGAGAAAGCACGCCATTGGGAGCCAGAAATCTGGCTCTGACTCCCAGCCTTGCCCCCTGCCAGCTCGGCGACCTTGACCATGTTCCTGTACTGTTCCACACCTGTTTCTTGATTTCTCAAACAGGGATAACACCAATCTCACAGATTAGTGAGAAAGCCGAAAGGTGTGTGTGAAAGCTCTTTCTAGACAGTAAGACATACAAATGACAGGGGGACCACAGCCCCAGGTCACCTAGGGGTGCAGCTGGGTTTGGGAGCATCCTCCATCCTGGATGACATTGGTACCCTCTCCTCACTCCTTAATGGCTTCTCTTGCTGTTGCCTTTCGTGTACGCAACGTCTCTGCTAAGCCATCTGTGTCAGGTGCTTTAACTTTTCCAATGATAACAGTACAGGACTGGGTAACATTTTGTTCCATTGTACGGGGATCACCGTGAGTCAGGGTGCAGAATAGATGGCAAGTAGTAACAACACAACAATCCCTGGGATGTCCTTGCCTCCATCCTTCAAGGTGAAAAAGGATGGGCACTGGGCTGCTCCCTGCCCCTGGTCTAGGGGCAGAGCTGACCAGGGCCCTCAGTACTTACAAGCCTCGACTCATCTCCGGCCGACGCTTTGCCTTGGCCTTGAACACCACCTGCAAGCAGAGATGCCCATCACTCATGAAAGCCCTTAGGGCTTGCCAACCCAACCTACACCCACCCATCGCTACCGGTTACCTGGGCAAAGTAGAGGTTCATAAGCGTCAGCGTGAAGAACTGCAGGCAGACGGGGCAACAGTAGAGAAGCCAGAAGGGCAGAGGCCCCAGACGGTTAGCTCGGGGGGTATCTCGGAAGTAGAAGGAGAAGAGGGTGGTGCGCAGCGCAGCCCACAGCAGACAGAGTGCCAGGAACACGGTTTGATAGCTGAGCCGTTTGTGGCCATACAAGAGCACCAGCCAGAGCTGGGCATAGACGGAGAAGAAGAGGAGGGCATACAGGGTGGTGTAGGCTGCAGTCAGGCCCAGGGTCACAGCGGGTGGCAGCGCAGGCACCAGGCCAGCAGCAGGCACCAGGCCAGACAGGTTACTCTCCATAGCAGGGAGGGAAGCCTGAATCCCAGAAGAGACAGCGATGGAAGGGATGGCCAGGGGCCAGGGAAATCAATACAGGGAGGGGAGGGGAATGCAGGTACTGAGACAGGGAGGTGGGCACCTCAGGGGGACAAGAAGTTGTGGTTGGCTAGAGAGATCCTCGTCCTTGTGGGGCACGGGTAGCCTGGGCTCTGGCCCCCTCACTCAGGGAAGTGGAGGGCAGTTTCTCCTCTCCAAGGCAGACCGGAGAAGGGGTCTCCTCTCTGGGGTGGGTGCGGAGGCTGAAGGTGAGGGGTCTCTAATCTTGATCGCTCGTGCAGGTGTCCGAAGGAGGGGGAGAGCCGGCCGATGCCCACCCGATTAGGGCAGCGGCCCCTGCACGGGGCGCCCCAATGCCCAGCTCTCCCCCTCCTCAGGCTGGGAGAGGCTCTTTCCCCTCCAATAATCCGGAATGGGGGCGCCTCTGCCTTCTCTCTTCGTGATTCCGAACGCTTCTCCCCACCCCCCACCGCGTTCCCTCTCCAGCCGAAGGGGGGCGGAAGGAGACCGTCGCCTGGTCCTCAGACCGCCGCTGGGGGAGCCGGCTCCGGTCGCCGGGACCCGGAGCTCCGGCTCCCCGGCTCCCGCTGCTCCGCCCCCTCCTGCGCCTGCGCGGGCGCCGTGCACTACGCAAATTGCGCAGGGGCTGGCCTGGGCTCTGCAGCCCGGCGCCGCGCCCGGCGTGAGGCCGTTCGAGAATTGCCGCGACTTGCGCTGCCAGCGGGTGCCATCGGTTACGGGAGGCGGCGGGCAGCCTAGATGCGGGGACCGCGCCGCATCCGACTCGCGTCCCATTGGGCTGTGGCCTGGGCCTCTGGCCCTTGCTGATTTGGGGGACGGCAAGCTCCCATTCTCCCAGCTGTCCCCAAATCCCGATCGTGCCGCCCAACCCGGGGCGGCAACGACTTCCCTTCACGTCCTCTCTGAAGGAAACTTCCGCCCCAAGTCAAGATGGCCCCCGGACCCGCCCCCTAGCCCCCCACCCTGCACCCCCAGCCTTAACCCGCAGAGTTCCGGAGTCCCTGCCGGGCAGGCCGCCCCACGTGCGGGTCCCGCTCACCTGGCTGGTTGCACCTGCCACCCCTGCGAGTCCTCAGGGTCACCCTCATAGGGGACCCGGTACCTTCTAAGCCCGGGCCGGCATCCTGCCAGCACGGAGCCTCCCTCTCTTATCTCGGGTGCTCCTGAGATGGCGCGGGGAGTGGCGCCCTGCTGCGGGCTGCTTGGTTTCCACGTTGGAGAGGAGGAGGTAGTGGGATTTCCCGACCCGATCACCACTCCAGACGGAACCACAGTAATTGCATCCCACTTCTGAACGTCAATTGCGGCTTTACCAATTGCTTTCAACCATAGTGATCACTACTCTGTTTACAAAGTTTTCACCAGCTCCTGAGGGAGGTGTCATTATTCCCATTTTACAGGGGTGGAAACTAAGGCCCTGAGGAGCGGAAGGGCTTGTCAGCATAAGCAAGTCTCCAGGGTCCCAATGGGGGACTCCGGAGAATCCCTCACCGGCTCCCTCATACGCGCAAGGCATGAGGATGTAGAGAGCTGAGTTTCGGAGGTGAGGAAGGGACACAGGAGGAGGGCGAAAGGAGTGGGACCGACCCAGAATGGCCCCGCCCAGCCCTAATGACATTTCACAAGCTGATTGGATTGGATCTGTGACAGTTCCCGTTGCCCAAGCAACTAGGGCAGGGCGCCCTCAGTACTGGAGAGAGGCGGCAGGCCCGGGTCAGGGGCCTCGAGATCGGGCTTCGAGATCGGGCTTGGGGTGAGACCTGTATGCGTCTTCTCAGAAATGACGGCCTGGGTGGGGGTCTGGGATTAGCCCACAACACCAGTGCTCCGTGGTGAGATTTAGGTACCAGATGGACAGGTTGAGCGCTTGGAAGAGCCAGTTTCGAGTCTGGGAGGCAGGGCGGGCCTGGGGGCTCTAGGGGAGAAGAGGGATCCCTGGATGCCTGTCCTCAACCCCCACAAGCCTCTGTTTGTTTCAACTGTTCCCTTACCACCTACCATCTTGTCCCCACAGCCCAGAGTATGTTCCAGATCTCAGAGTTTGAGCAGAGTGAGCAGGAAGACTCCAGCCCTGCAGATAGGGTCCTGGACCCCAGCACCGAAGGGGACCAGCTCTCAGGCCCCTGCAAGCGCCACCGCACGGCCCCAGGCCCCCTGGGGGACGCCGGTCACCAGCAGGGGCAGCCAATTAACAGCGGCCATCATGGAGGTAGGCACCCCAATATCACTACCTGTCTGATAGCTCTGCACTCCAGCCACATCCACACTGGCAGGTTTTGATTGAATCCATAATCTGTTAGCCTCAGTTTCCTCTTCTGTAAACAAAGTAATGAATCACCACCATTGTAAGGTTGTTGGGATGATTAGCAGCAATATATGTTGTTGTTAAGTGCTATCAAGTTGATTCCGACCCATAGCGACCCTGTATAGGGTTTCCAAGGAAACTGGTGAGCTTGAACTACTGATCTTGCAATTCATATGACTTTGCAGTCTGACGCATTAGCAACAGCGCCACACCAGGACTCCAGCAGCAATATATAGGAAGCACTTTACATTGGTGTTAGCATATATATATATATATATACTCAAAAAAAAAAAAAGTAGCTGTTACTGTAAGAGCTGAAATCACTGAGGAACAGGCCCAGGGCAAGAAAGGGGAAGTGACTTGCCTAAGGACATACTTGTTTGGCGGTTCCTTCCAGTAAGGCTGGAAGACTCCTTGATGTGGTTCCTTCCAGTAAGGCTGGAAGACTCCTTGATGTCCCAAGCTATGCACTTTCCCTGGGACTGACTTATCCTTGTGGCCGCCAGCCCTCCGAGGCCTGCAGCAGCCATGTGGTGGGGGTGGGGAGGTGGGGAAGTTGCTGGAAAAAGCTTCCTGTCTTCCAGCATGGCCTGTCAGTTGATTCCCACCTAGCCATGCCTAGCCAGATGGAAGGATGGGGACCTCGTAAACATTTTTCTGTCATCTCCCTCTGCCCAGTCTCTGGCAGAGACCTTCCAAAATCTACAGGAGACCAAGTCACTTGTCCCTTGTAGCCTAACTAACTCCCATTCTCTTCAGGAGCAAGAAGGCATCCTCTTCCTTTTTTTATGCACATGCCTTCCTGTCAGACTGAATCCCAGGACTTTCCAAAGCTGCTTCCCCCCCACCCTTCCTCCCTGCTCTCAACTCTTTCATCATCAACCTTACCCGCTCTGCCCCTCCTTTGGGCCCCCTCAGCCTTCTCTTCCTCCAATGATTGAGTATTTAATAGGAGGCCACTTCAAGAAGTTTGTGGGACAATTCTATTATGTTTTTATTGTGAATTGAATGAAGGGTTACACACCAGAGAATCCGTTTTACGTGCAAGAAATCACACATCTTGTTTTATCTCAATTGCAATCCCCTCAATGTAACATGGCTTTTCCCATTTCCTTCTTGTGTTTCTGGAGCTCTGGTAGCATAGTGGTTACAAATTGGGCTGCGAACCGCAAGGTCAGCAGTTTGAAACTACCAGCTGTTCCACAGGAGAAAGATGAGGCTTTCTGCTCCCAGAAAGATTTATAGCCTCGGAATCTCTATAGTCACTATGAGTCAGAACTGACTCCCGGCACATAACTGCAAGCTAGTGTTTCATTTTTCCATTCCTCCTGCTTTCCCCACCCTTTTGAATTTTGGTCATGGGTAAATGCTGCCCTTTTGATCTTGAATGGCAGATCATTCTGTGGTGTGT